TCACATAATTATAGATGTTGAACACCAAGACGTTTGTTTCTCAGGTGTACTTGCATGGGGGTTGAATGATTTGCAGGCAAGATGGTTTTGCTGTTTAGTTCTCCTAAGTGTTTTTCCTCTCTGGGTTGATATTTCTTTTTCTTGTCAGGGGGAAAATTTTCCTTTCAGTTTTAGTTGGTGGACTGGCAGTTGTAGCTTAGTTGTAGCTCTGGCAGATTGCTTGCCTAATGTGTGTGAGCTCTCCTGTGCAAGCCCCAACATCACAAAATTTCTGATTTGGTGAGTTAATTTTATATGTGGGTTGCCTGCCATAGAGCAGGGTCTAGAGCTAGGTCAGTTTGGTCTTTAAAAGACCTTGACAGGGCCTGGGAGGTGGCTTAGCAGGTAAAGGAGCTTGTTGCCAAGCCTGACCACCCAAGTTCCATCTCTGGGACCCACATGGTAGAACCAACTCCTGCAAATTGTCCTGTCTCCCCCCCCCAACATACACTAAGCAATTAATTAAAAAAAAACTTTGGCAGAGAGACCAAAAATCCCCTCTCATCTGTAGCAAATACATGTGTATTATGTATATACATATGTGAATTATGTACACATATCTGTGTCTACATATGTGAATTATGTACACACATGAGTGGGTAGAAGCTGTTGGTTTTATATCTTGCATGTACCATGTCTCTCATCCAACTTGTTCCATTAGGAGTGTCATTGAATCTGGTCCCATTCATTGGAAGAAGTTTGGCTAGAAAATTAGCAGAACTAATTTATGACTGCCACATTGTCTCATTTGAACATTTCCACTTACAGTCTTGAAACAGTTTGGGTAACTGGAGAAGCTAACTGCCTTCACACACTCCTTTTCAGGGATCGTGTGTGTGTGTGTGTGTGTGTGTGTGTGTGTGTGTGTCTGTGTGTGATCGATCAAAATCAGGGCCCATGTACTCTACTACTGAGCCATATTGTCACCCTTCATGGCTGATCTTTGTGAGGTACTGAATTACTTTTCCTGTTGCTGTGATAAAATATCTTGACAGAAACAACTTATGGGAGAAAGGGTTTATTTTGGCTCACAGTTCAAGGTTTCATTCTGTCATGATGGAGAAGTCAGTGGCAGGAGCTTGAGGCAACTGGTTGCATTGCATCTGCAGTCAGGAAATAGAAAGTGATGCTAGGGCTCCCCTTACTTTCTCTTTATTCAGTCAAAGATCCCAGCCCATTGAATGTGTTGCCCATAGTTAAGGTGAGTCTTCCCACCTAAGTAAACTCAATCTATATAATCTGTCACAGGCATGCCCAGAGACTTGTTTTCTTGTTCCCTAGTACTTTAGATGCTGTTAAGTTGACAATCACTATTAACCACCATAGGTACTGTTATGCACTCTATAGTACTTGGTGACTAAGACCTCTCCCTAAGGATAGGGTTAACTGGAAAAATGGAATCTATACTTGAAAATTAGCTGGAGAGTTGTGATCTGACTTGGAAGATAGCATGAACTGGGGTGTAGCTCAGTGGTAGAGTGCTTCCCTGGTATGTGCTTGGCACTAGGTTCTATTACCAGCACTGGAAAAGAGAGGGAGGGAGGGAGGGAGGGGAGAGAGCGAGAGAGCAGTAGACTGATGAAGAGATGTATGCACTTGATTTTAGCCAAAAGGCTGAGAGGTGAGATGGGGACATGTGTTCTGTACTTGGAAGAAAGATAGAGAGAAAGATGGAAAAACAGCTTCCCTACAGGAGCAAACAGTGACAGACAACAGCAAATGTTGGGATGAATTGCACATTGCCGAGGTTTCTGTTTGGACTGCTGGTGTAGTTAGTCTACGCAGTGCTTATTTGCTTGGAACTCAACATGTCTTTGATGTAAATGTAGGTGTTCTTGTGGGATGGAGAGAGAGACTACTGAGCTTGTGAAACAGTTGCTCAGTTCCCCAGGCTACCTGGAGGGCCAGACAAATCTTGTTCATATTGATCATGGTGTTAGTTTTCTCATTACTGTGTCCTGACAGAAACAACTTAAAGGAGGAGTGATTTATCTTGCCTCATAACTTCAGAGGGTTCAGCTCATGATCGCTTGACCTTATGAGCTTGGGCAAAATACCATAGTGGTGGGTGTGTATCACAGAGGAGAGCTTTTCATTTCATGTCAGAGAGAGTGTGAAAGAAAAGGGCCAGGGATACCGGACCGTTGCCCAGTTACCTACTTCGTCTCTTAGAGTTTCCAGTACCTTCCAAAATAGTACCACCAGTTGGGGCCTATGCCTTAACACATGAGCCTGTTGGGGGTATGTCTCATAGTTTAACCATAACACTCATCCTGTTTTCATTCATTCCACACATATTTATCCACTTTTTATTATGTGCCTAGCAATGTGCAACACTCAAAAAGAAAGCTCTCTAGCATCCCTGCACCTCCTTGTCTTCATTTGTAAAGTGGGGCCCCTGACTCTCACTCTCTCTCTCTCTCTCTCTCTCTCTCTCTCTCTCTCTCTGTATGCATGTGTTTGTGTGGGAGTTCTTACATGTATGGTTATCTATGTATGTGTGAGAGTGTGTGGAGGTCAGGGAACAATCTCAGGTGTCTTCCACTTTTTGTTTGATATAGGGTCTCTCATTAGCCTAGAATTTTGCCAAATATTCTAGGCTAGGTGGTCTTTGAGCTTCTGGTATCCACCTGTCTCCACCTCCCATGGTTGTTATTGCTGGGATTACAGATGTGAGTAGTTTTTCCTGACTTTTTAAACATGGGTTTTAGGAATCTGAGCTCAGGTCCTCATACTTGAAAGGCAAATGCTTAACTGACTGAGCCATATTCCTAGACCCTGTGACTTTCTTGGCTGGTTTATGAGATACAAATAGTGTATTTGACTCAGTATAGTATCTAATATACATTAGATGCTAAAAGTGTTTCTGCCTATTCTTTTTTTTTTTTTTTTTTTTTTTTTTTTTTTTTACCCAATAAACTCGCTGGCTCTCTTAGCTAGTTTTGTGTGGAATTGTTTCTGCAGTCTGTCATTGGTGCCCTTTGTGGGGTGAACATGCCTTCGTTCACATCTCCCCAGGAAGTGTCACACAACAGGCTTGGGGCCAGGAAGGTCATAGCCCTTGTCTGTTAAGCTGACCTTCAATGCCTCCCACTTTGGTTCCGCTGGTCCTTTACCTACAGTCTCCAACTATTACAGCTCTAGGCTCTGCAGCAGAAGCCTGCTTCCTTTCTGAGTTCTCTTTCTTCAGAGGCACATTGTTCATTTCTGCTTCATCTTTACAAATAGTGTATTTTACTCAGTATAGTATCTAATATACATTAGATGCTAAAAGTGTTTCTGCCTATTTTTTTTTTTTTTTTTGTCTTTTTGAAGCAGGGTTTCCCTGTAGCCCCAGCTGACCTGGAACTCACTATGTAGACCAGGCTGGCCTTGAACTCACAGAGATCCACCTGCCTCTACCTCCCAAGGGCTAGGACTACAGACGTGTGCCACCGCGCCTGGCTCTGTCTGTTTTATATAGTTGCTATTTCTGCATAAAAAAATCACCCCAAACTTAATTATACAAAATACCAGTGATCTTTTTATTTTGCTCAAGTTTTCTATGGATTAGGAATTGGCGCACATACACAACTTAGATGGCTTAAGTCTGTTCCCCAGCATCTAGAGCCACAGCTAGGCAGACACAGGTTTAGGGGCTAGTATATGGTGACTCAATGGGTGGAGCCTCTCACATTCTGGCCACCTATGCTGACTGTGGGGCCTTTGCTGGGCTGTTAGCTGGAAGAGAGCTGCATGTGTCCTCTTTTGCAGTCTCTCTTCCACCCAGGCTACTTCCCTTCCTTATATCCAAGTTCCTGTAGTAGGTAACACAAGGAGGGAGAGGTGGAAGCCATCTTCCTTGGAAGTCACATAGCATCCTTTTTGTCTTAGGATGGGTCAACCAGAGCAGAAGGAGCAGAGATCGATCCCTGACTCAGCCCTGTGTGCAGTATTTGGGATGAGAGAGATTATTGTGGCCTACCTGGAAAATATTGTCTGAATATATATATATGTTTTTTGAGACACAATTTCCCTGTAGCTCCAGGTGACCTGGAACTTGCTATTAGACCAGACTGGCTTCAGTGTCACAGAGATCTGCTTGCCTCTGCCTCCCAAATGCTAGGATTAAAGATATGTGCCACCACACCCAGCTGACATATTTTAAGCGTGTAAAATACTTGTCCTTGATCTGTTGTTCATTTGTCATTTTAACTTGTTTTTTCTTTTATTTGGTAATATTTTTAAGTTTTTGAAGTAACCAAATGATTGCCATCTTATAATAATTAGGGACAACTTTAGACTAATGAATAATTTAAACAAATCAGTACTTGTATATTTTTGTTTTCTTTTGAGACAGGTGTCTCTGTGTAGCTGAGGTTGGCCTCAGACTCTCCAACCTGCTTTGTCCACCCAAGTGCTGGGGTGACAGGTGTGGGCTCCATGTTCAGCTTATATTACTATCCTCTTTCATTTCAGTAGAAAAGCACATATTTTCTAGCATACAAAAGTTAATCATTCTTGATGTAAATAGTATAATGAAAATACATAATTTTATTTTTTTGAAAGAGTGTCTCACTATGTAGCCCTTGCTGGCCTAGAACTTGCCACATAGACCAGACTGGTTTCAAACTCACAGAGATCCTCTTGCCTCTGCCTTCCATGTGCTGCGATTAAAGGTGTATGCCACCACTCCTGGCAAAATTTGTTATCGTCTTTTTTTTTTTTTGGAGCTGAGGACCGATCCCAGGGCCTTGCGCTTGCTAGGCAAGCACTCTATACCACTGAACTAAATCCCCAACCCAAAATTTGTTATTTTAAACTTTAAAAATGCTTTTTTATTTTGAGTTTGGGTCATGTTATATAGCCTAAACTGGCCTGGAATTCACAGTCCTCCTGCCTCTGCTTCCCAAGTACTAGGATATGGTTATGTGTCATCATGCCTAGCTTAAAAATTCTAACTTTATTCTTTTGTGTTTTAGAGACGAACCAAAGATGATACTTGGAAAGCGGATGACCTCAGAAGGTACCTTAAGGTAGTATATTTTATAGACTTAATTTTGGATCTAGATGGAGCTTTCATGGTTTTGGACAGTTTTACATGGCTCATAATAATGCATAGCTTTGGTTACATGAAATTCATTTTGGAGGCAATTTTGACTCAAGGATGAAGCCAGGTGGTTGATTCCTCTGGAACTGTTGGGTAGGGCTCTGTTCTGGAGCATGATGCGGCCTATTTGTTAGCCCAGTCTGACATCCCTACTAGCTCGGTAGTGCTAGTAGGATGGATTTAGGGGATCCTTGTACCTTGGAGCACCAGTGGGGTGGGGTTGGGTTTGAAATAAAATTTTCCTGAGAGTTTTATAATGAAAGTCTTCAGTTTTTTCCCTATTATTTATTTATTTGTTATTTATTTATTTTTGAGACAAGGTCTTCCTGTAGCCTCAGTTGGCTTAGATTCGCTATGAAGACCAGGCTGGCTGGCCTCCAACCCACAGAGATCTGTTTGCCTCTGCCTCCTGAGTACTGGGATTAAAGATAGGCATGCATCACCACACCCAGCTCTTTTTTACTTTTTAAATGGGGTCTCACTCTGTAGTTCAGGCTGGTCTTGAACTGAACTGGCCCAGTCTTCTGAGTGCTGGGATTCTAGGCATGTGCCTCCATGCCTGGCTTTGTTTGTTATATAATGGGCCAAGTGGGTCCTACCTAAACAATTTTAAAACATAGCTTCAAAATGTATTTATTTTTTAAACTTTTTTAAAAATCTTTCTTTCCTTTTTACAGTACTGGGATTGAACTCATGTTCAAAATTGGCATTTGGGGATTGATTTGCCAATAAACATGGACATCTCTGCAACTTGGGACACTTACCAGCCAGAGGTGTAGAGATGCTAAGTGTGACTACAGATACTTTTAAAAAATTTTTATTATTTAAAAAATTTTATTTGTGTAGGTGTATTGCCTGCATGTATACATCTTGTGCAATGCCCATGGAGGTGGGCATCAGAGGGCATCAGATCCCCTGGAACTGCAGTTATAGATAGTTGTTAGCCATCATATGGGTGTTGGGAATTGAACCTGGGTCCTCTGCAAGAACAACCAGTGCTCTTAACCACTGAGCCTTCTCTCGAGCCCCATCTACAGATACTTTATTCTAAGAATATTCATTCAGCCCCACCTCACATCCCTCTGGGATTAGATAGCATTTGCAACTAGTATTTTTTAAAGGTGATTCCAATGAGTATGATTCTCTAGATATTAAAAATAATGCAAAGTGCTTTCCCGGTCAAGGAAGATCTTTGTTGTGTTGCTTTAGGCTGTACAATCAGGTAGTCCCAAGGAAGATAAGAAACTCCGAGAAAAGAAACTGCACAAGGAGTCAGAACTGGGCCCTCTGGAATACAGAGAACACAAGAGCAGGGACATAGACCGAGAAGCCCGACACAGGGAGAGGACTGCTGAGAGAGACCTTCACACATCCACAGAGCACCCTCGAGGAGAGAGAGAGTGGGAGAAACACAAAGAAAGGAAGAAAGATGCGAAAGACAGGGAGAAAGACAAGTTAAAAGAGAGACATCGAGAACAAGATGCAGAAAAGGCTCAGAGTCGAGGCAAGGACAAAGAGAGAGAGAAAGACAGAAGGGCCAGGAAAGAAGACCTCAGGCAGACCATTGCCTACTATGACCTCCTGGGTCGTGAGGTGCATGGCCGGCAGCTGCTAGAGAGAGTGGAGAAGAAGGTCCATGCAGGTGCGTGCCACTTCAGCGATTCCTCCTGTGGTATCGCTCTAGCTGCTTGTTACAGTTTGTTGGCTGTTACTTTTGCACTTGCTTGATTGTATGTGTATGCAGGCACAACTTTTAGAAGTTGGTTCTCATCTTCCCCCTTGTTAAGGCAGAGTCTCTCTCCACCATGCTGTGTACTTCAGGCTACCTGGCCTGTAAGCATCTGGCCCATTCTCCCATCTATGCTTCCCATCTTGCTGTAGGAGTGTTGGGATTACAGATGTGAGTAGCTGCATCCAGCTATTTACATGGGTTCTGGGGTTGTGAGACTGTGTGGCTAGTGCTTTTACTTGCTGAGTCCTCTCCCTGTGTTTTAAAGTTCTTACTGTTTGGATGATTTTCCTTTTCAGTTCATCATTTTGGTTTCTCTCAGGTTTTCATGAATGTTTTAGTTTTGGATTTGAAGTCACAGTGCCCTATTCTCTGTGTATATTTGTGACCCTGACTTTTTTTTTTTTTTTTTTTTTTTTTTTTTTGTTTTGTTTCCCGCTTTTTTTTTTTTTTTTTTTTTTTTGTTTTTTGAGACAGGGTCTCCCTGTAGCCCCAGCTGTCCTGGAACTCACTATGTAGACCAGGCTGGCCTTGAACTCACAGAGATTGGCCTGCCTCTGCCTCCCGAGCGCTGGGATTTAAAGGCATATGGCTCCACTCCCTGCCCTTTTGATTTTCTTAATTGTAAGCTAATGACTTGTCTGTGCAGAGGCAGAAGTGACAACTCATTTTCCTTATTGGGTGGTGCTTTGGACATCATCTCTCCTAGGTTTTAGTGAGAGCCCTCTGACCCAATATGCTTCATTTTCCTGCCAGATATAACGTGTGGCTCTCCTCTCTACTTCAGGGTGTATAAACATTTGCCAACTTGCCTCAGTTCCTTAGGCTGCCATTTTTATCTCCCACTTTAAGTTTAGATAACTTGCCATTCTTGAGTTTGGAGAATGTGTTTTAGTTGAAGAGTATTTTTACAAGTTCATCATATGTACAATGGTAAAGTCTGCAGCAAGGTACCAGGTGGTCTTTTGGATATTAAAAATGAGTTGTATTTTTCAGTAAGTAAAGTACGAATTGAAGGGAAAGAAAGGAGAAACGATGATTTGGAAAGAGGAGATGACGACAGAGAAAGAAGATACCGAGAAAGAAAGGTACACAGGGCTAGGCTTACGGTGGCCAGCAGAGCACCTGGGAACACTGTGAGAGAGGCATTGCTGGGAAGTTTGTAACGGGGGTGGGGTGTGTGTGTGTGTGCACACACTGAGGATCAGCTCCCCATATGGGTATCAGTTTCTTCTCTCCTCATGGTCGAGTGCTTTCCTGAGCCCAGTAGTAACTCTTGGTTATTTTTGAAAGTTTAGAAGATATAAATAATAGAATAAAATCTCACCCTGAGATTATAATTGATAATGTTAGGACATGCACCCTATGGTTGGTGAGATAGCTCAATGAGTAAAGTGGTTGCCTTGCAAGCATGAGGTTGCCTTGACAGAGATGAGCAGGGTAAACTACAGTTGAGGGAATTGAAGAAAGAGATGAAGGCAACTCTTGGGGTCCCATGGTGAATGGAAAGAACACAAGAAACCAAGGCGTGAGGTAGAAGTGAGTGAATGCAGTGTCCTTTGGCTGGAGTGAATCAGGTCAGGTCTGCCTCACATGCTCCCAGTGCTCCTAGATGGAGCCAGAGCTGGGATACCATGGTAATAAGTGCTATGCACTTGGAATGTCATGAGTGACCCACTGAACTTCCATGGTGGTTTTGGGATGACAAGATGACTAAATGATGGCACTTCTTGTTTGGGTAACAATGAGTAATAATTAAGAAAGAATGACATGCCATATTATCACAAGGGAGGTGGTAGCATCGTGTTGATGTTTGCCACGGGGACTGCCTTCTTGAGAAGTAACAGAGGCATCACAGCAGGGACTGTAGGGCTATGGGAGCTGAAGGTGATGGAGCAAAATAAGAATGTGGTAGAGGAAGAAAGGCCAGATGCTAGTGGAGGAACAGATGGCAAATGCTATATTTGCTTTCAGTGACTGGGTTAGTTTTCTGTCATTGTGATAGAAACACAAGCTAATTAATGTATAATGAAGAAAGGCTGACTTTGGGTCACAGCTTTGGCGCTTTCTGCCCATGGTTAGCCCTCTTGTGTGGGTCTATGGAAAGGTGTCATGTTGTGAGAGTACACGGTGGAGCAAAGCTACTCATACCCCAAAGTCTGGGAGCAGAGAGGAGGGAGAAAAGGAGAGACAGGGCCCTCAATCTCCTCCGCCTTCTGCAGGGCTGTCCTTCCTAAAGGTCCACAGCACCTCTTGGCAGTGGCCCTATGGAGACCAAGCCTTAACACAGGGGCCACACAAACCGTTCTCCTGGGAAATTTTTGAATGTCAGAGGGCAGCTGGGCTTTGGTGATCTCTCTGTTACTTTGTAGGGCGGGGTGGCACTGGTGTGAACAGGAACTGTTTTTCTTTCCAGAAGAACAGCAGATGAGGATTTTGGGAGGTTCAGAGCAGTGGTGACTGTGTGATTTCCCTGCTTTTTTTCATCATAATACCCAGACAGACAGTGCTTGTGTCTGTTTGCTCACATAGTTTTCACTGTTGGTTTCAAAGCTGCAGTATGGAGGTGGTAAAGACAATCCTCTCAACTACTGGCTTTATAAAGAAGAAGGTGAAAGAAAACACAGGCGGACAAGAGACACGGATCGAGAGAAGAAACACCGAGAGAAAAGTAGCACAAGGGGGAGAGGAGAGAAGCACTCGAAGGAGAAGGGGAGCTCGCTCTCCAACAGGGAAGGTGAAGACAGACACAGAGAGCGGCGCAAGGAAGGCTTGCATCGTGAGGAGAGGCGCCCGAGTCACACAGATGGAAAAGAGAGACCTTCAAAAGAAGAGCACAAGAGACGGGAGTCCAAGGTATCTTTTTTCTGTCGTCACTGTCTTTATAGTCATCCAGAGGTCGACGTGTAGAGAAAATTGTCTCAACATAGCCAGCTAATATTAAGATTTATTGTGTACTAGCATGCTAGTTTGTAGTTACTGTAACAAAGCACCTGACATAAATAAGCTTATTTATTTTTTAAAATATTTTATTTATGTCGGGTGTGGTGGTGCACGCCTGTAGTCCCAGCACTTGGGAGGCAGAGGCAGGCAGATCTCTGTGAGTTCAAGGCCAGCCTGGTTTACATAATGAGTTCCAGGTCAGCTGGAGCTACAGGGAGACCCTGTCTCAAAAAGACCAAAAAAAAAAAAATGTGTGTGTGTGTGTGTGTGTGTGTGTGTAGTTTTATTATTTTTATGTTATGCGTATGAGTCTTATGCCTGCAGGTAGGGAAGTGCACCTGTGTTGTGCAATGCACGTGGAAGACAGAAGAGGCTGTTGTAGCCCCTGGAACTGGAGTTAATGGACAATTGTTAGCTGCCATGTGGGTACTGGAATTTGAACCTGGGTTTTCTGTAAGAACAGTCAGTGTTCTTAGCCAGTGAGCTATCTCTCCAGCCCTCAAAAGACTTATTTTTGCTCATGATTTCAGAGTTTTCAGTCCATCATGGCAGGGAGAGTGTGATGGAGCAGAGCCCAGGGTGCAGAGCAGCAGGGAACCCACCTGTGCTGCAGGTGTTTGGGGTGAGCCTCTGTCCTAGCTGGTCTTGATTCTTAGGAAACACCTTCATAGGCACGCTCAGAGGTTTGCTTTGTAAATGTCTCTACACTCTCAATCTAAGCAAATTGACAAGGTTAACCATCACAGGTAGTTATGGTGAAAACATGACTCAGGCTGCTGCTTCGTGATAAGTAAGGGGAGATGACTAATCTTCTAAAGAGCCTGACTCAAATCTTTTAGTTACATTGTGAATGTACTTGCTTTATTGAGATAAGGTTTCACTGTGGTGCCCAGGCTGGTCTAAAGCTCCGGGGTTCAAGTGATCCTCCTGCTTCTTCCCAAGGGCTGAGACTATAGGTGTGTGTGCCACCATATCCAGCTGCTAATGAACGTTTTACCAGTACTGGATGAAATTGCTTCATAAGTTGATCACTTAATTTATCCTTTAAAAAAATATCAGCTTCTTTTTAAATTTTTTCAATGTACATATTTTATTGAATTTTTGTACATTTCATTCAAAACATCTTAATCATCTTGATATCCCCTCCCCCAACAGTACCCCCCTGTAGCACCCCCACCTGATTTCATGCATCCTGTCATTTATGATAAAGTCAAGTTAGTGTCCCCAGATGTCCCTCAGTGCAGGTTCATCCACTGGGGTCTAGTCAGCCTATCTAGAGTCCCTCCCTTAAAGACGATCAACTCTCCTTCTCCCAGAAGTAATCAGCTGCCATGGTGTGTGCCACCATATCCAGCTGCTAATGAACATTTAATAGAAAATTGGAAATCTGTTATGAAATTCTGAAATTCATTGTTAAAAAGGAAATTGGTACCTGAGGAAGCTTCACTGCTGAGAGTTGAGAGATGTGTTAGTGTTCTCTCTATCCCTTGTTCCACTCTGTTCTATGAGCCTTAGGTGTAGAGGTTCCATTGTAGATGTGTCATTTAGGGTTGGGCACCTCACAAACATTTATTCTCTGTGTGTGACCAGTTGTGGAACTCTGTAAGAGTCTCCATCTGTTGCAAAAGAAGCTTCTTTGAGGAGTGGTGACTGGTATACCTGTCTATAAATAAAAGAATACATATTTAGCATGTAGTAAGAAATTACATTTGTCTAGTGATGTAACAGCCTTAGGATTTTCTCTAAGGTCTATGACCTCTCCAGTCATGTATATTTGACTATGTTTTTAGTGCCACATATGAGTAATAGAGGGCGATGAACACAAGAGGCCACAACTGGCCAAAATGTAGAGAATAAGAGCCTACAGAGTGTAGGCCCCGGGACAGGACTCTTATATTAAATTTCACCTACCCAGAGTGAACCATTGTGGAAGAGGGGGAGGAAAGATCGTAAGAGCCAGGGGAGGAGGTGCATGACTATAAGGAAAAAGAGTCTTGCAGGCTTCTGGGACCCTGCTCATATGAACTTACAGCAATGGTGTCAGGATGCGTAAGACCCATGCAGACTCATTCAGACAAAAACCCGGCATAGACCTGGGGAAATGGGCAGCAGACCCCAACCTCAGCCAAGGAGCTATTGGCAGCTGATTAATCCTGGGAGGAGAGTTGATCGTCTTTAAGGGAGGGACTCTAGATAGGCTGACTGGACCCCAGTGGATGAACTTGCACTGAGGGACATCTGGGGACACTAACTTGACCTTATCATAAATGACAGGATGCATGAAATCAGGTGGGGGCGCTGTAGGGGAGTATAGATGGGGGAGGGGATATCAAGATGATTAAGATGTTTATATGAAATGCACAAAAATTCAATAAAATATGTACATTGAAAAAAATTTAAAAAGCTGATTTTTTTAAAGGGGAAATTAAGTGATCAACTTATGAAACAATGTCATCCAGAATTGGTAATACAGGTTTATCAAAAAGAATAAAGATATATAGCTATTGATGGCAAAGAATCTAATTTCTTCCTACATGTATTGACTTCCTCACTGCAATTGCTTCATGGTTTCCTAGACCCACTGTGGTAACTTCTGTTTTCATACACACACCTCAGGCTGCTCTGTTTTTACAGAATCTTGAAGCAGGTCCTGTTGCTGCTGATGGTGCTTCTTTAAAGCAGAAACATAATCTTTGCAGGAAGTTTGGGGGATGTCTGAGGCTGGGGGAAGAGTCAAACCTCAGGGAAAGACTGGGAGTCTCAGCCACTGATCAGGTCTTCTGGTCTGCTGATGTCTGTGAAAGTCTGTATGCAATTATTGTGAGAAGCCACTGAATTAACAGTAGGGGCTTAAATGCTTAAATGTCAGCTTAAATGCTAACAAACATGGGTGGTAAGAGCAGGTTCTGCTGGTCTCATGACCACCTCAGCATGTGCTCCATGTTATCATGAATCAGACTTCAATCATCTCCGGTTCCTTTGCCCCACAGCCTTTCCTTACACCTGGGCTAAAACCCCATGGTCTCCTGCAGCCCACAGCCCTTTGGACAGAATATTTCTTTAGCGGTTGGAAGACAATATCTATGTAGAAGGCATCTGCAGCCTACAGGCTGCTGTTGAACTGCCACACAGAATGTGTGCTCCTGAGTATGAAAGCTGACTGAGATAATGACTTGGAGGGGGGGCCCTCAGGGACGGCTGTTCATTCTTCTTAAAAATCTTTCCTGAGACCAAAATTTTCTAATTTCCTCCCATTTTCTCATGAATATGAGAAATATACAAAGTTGAAATAATTTCACAATGAATACCCACATACCTGCCACTTAAATTTGGTCACTAGTATTTTATTAACCTTGCTTGCTGTTTATGCCCTAGGTTACATTCAGTTGCTGTGCTTTAAGATGGATGTGGGTAGTGCATATCTGGCTAAGGCAGGTGTAGTGAGTTTGAGGCCAGCCTGGGCCATATAGCAAGACTTTGTCTCAGAAGTCCAAAAGAAAAAAAAAATGCCATGCTTATGTTATAGTTGTCTAGTTCTGCTACAGAAATTCCTTTCTGGACATGTCTTAATACATACATCTGACGTATATTAAAGGTTGGTGTAAGAGATGCCTATTTCTTACATGCATTTTATTAAATCACTGCCTTTAGAATTATCCCCAGAAAAAAATGTTCTTCTATGAGTGAAAGTTTTCCTTTTTTAATTGTTTTGATTTTTAAAAATTTTATTTTATGTGTATGACTGTTTTGCATGCATGTATGTATGTATGTATGTATGCAAGCATACCCATGCATGCAGTGTCTGCAGAGGCCAGAAAAGAGCATTGGATCTCCTGGAACTGGAGTTACAGATGGTTGTTAGTGGCCATATGGGTGCTGGAAACCAAACCCCAGTCTTCTGCAAGAGCACTTTCCGTTTTCAGACAGTTTGTTCTTGTTTGAGTGGCTGCTGTGCACTAGGCCTTGTTTTAGATGCTGAGGGTACATGTGTGAACAAATGAGCTTCCATTCCAGTAGGTGGAGAATCCACATGACCCAGGGGCATGATACCTGGGTCACTGCTGATCTTACATGTACTTAATATTTTCCCTGTGTTGATTCTCAGGTACTTGACTTAGTTTCTATGTTAACCTAGTGTTTGATGAAATTGTTCTACTATGAAATAAAATGTAAGGGACACTGTTAATAATGATCTTGGATCAATAGATCTAAATCAGGCCTGCTCCCAAGACCTGTGCTCTTCCTGATTGTCACTCACTTTCTCCATCATCAGGGCCTTAATGCTTCCTAAGTATGTGTCCTACCATTGGGCTACCTTTCCAGCCCTTGTATGATTTTTTGATCTGTTACTTTAAGCAAAACTTTGATCAGGAACTTCTAGTTATCAACTAGAGATGGAAAGGGTATGATTAAGCATGAGAAATAGAACAAGATGTTCTAAAGTTACTGTCCAGTGACTTCTTTAACAGAAGTCTCCAGTGATCAGATCTCTGCCACCATGTCTGCTACATGTAATTCTCTGAAGGTGTGATTATGTCCTTCTGCTTCCAGAAGTAGTGGCAGAACCTCCTGACCAGAACGTCAGTTCTCAGGAGCTGTGTGACAAGGCCTCTGGAATTTGACAGTACAAAGCTGAGTCCTTGCCCAGTACTGTGGTGTGTAGGTCACTTGGGCATTGTGTTATTCACCTCTTGAATGTTGTGGGAATTGAGACAGTGGAGTCAGTATGCCTGCGTAACACCACTGATCACAATGGGACATCTCCCCTGACTCCGCCTGCAGCCTGTTTGGCCAGTGTTGTCACAGGCCAGGGCACCTCTAGTACTGTTCACCTCACAGGCTTATTCTTTTCCTTCTTTATAGCTACTTTTATGTAGTTACTTTCTTTTTCCTTTTCTTTTTTTTTTGACAAGGTGTTACTATATAGTCCTGGCTTGCCTAACTCACTGTGTAGACCAGGTTGGCCTTGAACTCACAGAGATCTGCCTGCTTCTGCTTCCTGAATGCTGGGATTAAAGGCGTGCACCATCACACTTGACTGTATGTAGTTACTTTATGTCTGATCTGTTTACTAATTACTAAATCATAATTTTTTTCCTACCTCAACTACTGATTTAATTCTTTTTATTTTTTTAATTCAGACTTTTAAAAGATTGTGACAGATTGGTCTGTGGTAGTTCAGGCAGGATCTAAACTGACACTTGTATCAGAGTTACTTTTCTGTTTGTCTGTTCTGATTTCAAGTGGGGTATGCACCCCTAGCAGGAAGGTGTTCAAGGCCAGGGACAGGAGTTGTACATCTGTGGTTTATTTTATTTTATTTTAATTTATTATTTTTATTTTATGTGTACGAGTGTACTGCCTGCGTGTATGTGAGTGCATCTGTGTTGTGCAATGCTGTGGAGGTCAGAAGAGGGCTTTGGAGTCCCCTGGACCTGGAATTAAGGACAGTTGGTAGCTGCCATGTGGGTGCTGGGAATTGAACCCGGGTCCTCTGTAAGAGCAGTCAGTGCTCTTAACTGCTGAGCCATCTCTCTAGCCCCTCTGGTTTATTTTGTAGAATATTTTTGTTCTACCCTTAGAATCCCTAAAAGGTTATGTTTAGTAACTATCTTCTCCTTGGGGGTCACACATATGAGTTGACAAAAATAATTCCTTCTTGAAAGGTTTTTTAAAAATTTTTATTGAATATTTGTGTATTTCATATACAGCATCTTAATCATCTTAAAAAAATTATTTTTATTTTATGTGTATGTGTGTATTGCCTGCATATAGGTGAGTGCACCTGTGTTGTGCAATGCCCGCAGAGGTCAGAAGAGGCTTTTGGATCCCCTGGGACTGGAGTTACGGACAGTTGTTAGCTGCCATGTAGGTGCTGGGATTTTTACCTGGGTCTTCTGCAAGAACAACCAGTGTTCTTAAGCGCCGAGCCGTCTCTCCAGAGCCATCTTAATCATCTTTATGCCCCCTTCCCTATTAGCTCCCTCCCATAGCTCCCTCCCTGGAATTCATTCACTCTGTCATTTGTATTAAGGCCTATCATGTCAAGTTAGTGTCCTCAGATGTCCCTCAGTGCAAGTTCATCCACTGTGGTCTAGTCAGCCTATCTCAAGTCCCTCCTTTTTTTTTGTTTTTTTTTTTTGGTCTTTTTGAGACAGGGTCTCCCTGTAGCCCCAGCTGTCCTGGAACTCACTATGTAGACCAGGCTGGCCTTGAACTCACAGAGATCTGCCTGCCTCTGCCTCCCGAGTGCTGGGAGTAAAGGTGTGTGCCACCACGCCTGGCAGTCCCTCCTTTTAAGAAGATCTGCTCTTCCTCACACAGCAGTAATCAGCTGCTAATCATTCTTTGACTAAGATTGGGGCCTGCTGTCCATTTCCACAGTTTTGTGCTGGGTTTTTGTCTGCTTGAGTTTGCATGGGTCTTGTGCATGCTGACACCATTGTTATAGGTTCGTATGAGAAAAGTCCCAGGAGCCTGTGGGATTCTCTTTCTGTATGGTCATGTACTTCCTCCTTGGCTCCTAAAATCTTTCCACCCCTCCTTCCACAATGGTTCCTGAGCCCTGGTGGGGGTGGAATTTAATACAGGCATCCTGTCCAAGGACTCACACACTGAGACTCCTATTCTCTGTTTTGGCCGTTTGTGGCCTTTTGTGTTCCTGGCCCTCTGTTGCATAAAGGAATTTCATCGATGAGAATTTAAAGATGCATTAGTGTTCTCTTCATCCCTTGTTCTATGTTCTGTGAGTCTCAGGTGTAGAGGTTGCATTGCAGATGTGCCATTTAGGCTTGGGAAATTCACAGATAATCTCTGTGTATGACCAGTTGTGGAACTCTAGTAATCTCTGAAAAAGAAGATTCTGTTGAAAAAGGAGCTTCTTTGATGAGTGGTAACTGGGATACTTGTCTGTAAATTTAAGGATCCATATTTTGCACATAGTAAGAAATTACATTTGTCTAGGACTGTGACAGCCTTGGGGTTTTCCCTAAGGTCTATGACTGCTCCAGCTATGTGTATTTGACTAGGTTTATAGTACTACACATGTGTTTCCTCCCATTGAATGTGCTTTAAGTCCAATTAGGTAGCTGTTGATTACCCCCAACATAAAAGTGCTACGATTGCACCAATGCTGTGCTGGTCATTGGTGTGGTTTTTCAGGCCTTGAAGTTGGGGTTGGTCCATCAATTGGTGTTCTCCCTTACCAGTTTGCATAGTGCTCTCCAAAACTATGAGAGCGAGCCTTCAGGAGAGGTGGCTTCCCGGTCAGTTCCAGTTCCATTGCTTCAAATCCTGTGTTCAAAGTATGTCTTTGGCAAGAGGGTCTTACCTTTAAACTTCAAAAATTTTTGATAAATCTTAAATGATTTTCAACTGGTAAACAGAAACATAAAGATTGTACATGCTAATGGGGTACCACATAATGTTTAATTCAGAATAAAGATCTCTCTCAAACATTATTTGTTTATGGTGAAAACTCAAAATCCTTCCCTCCCTCCCTTCCTTTCTTCCTTCTCTTTTTAATTTGTGTGCCTATGTGTGTCTTGGGAGTGCAGGTTCCTTCAGAGACCATTGAGGTTGGATCCCCCTCTAGCTAGTGTTATAGGTGGTTGTAAGCTGCCTGATATGGGTGCCAGGAGCTGAACTTGGGTCCTCTGGAAGAGTAGCAGGTACTCTTAACCACTGAGCTGTTGCCCCCCCCCCCATTTAGTGTCTAACGTATTATCTTTAACAAGAATTCAAGGTTATGTTTTATAAATACATTTAAATTAGCATCGCATAAACCTAAAAAACAAAAACAAAAAAACGAAAAAACCCAATATATATTTCCAACCTGTTTGTAGTACCTAAGTTTATGGTTGAAATTTTGTTTCATGTTTGACTTTTGCTTCTAGGAAGCGGAAAAGGAAGACACTGATTTAGAGGCTGCTGGAGCTGATGAGTATCTGCCCGGTTTTGAAGATGATTTTGAAGTATGTGTAAAATTTAAATTTTTCTGTTTAGCAATGCATAGTAATGTTCAGCTTTTACATAGTAATATAATAGCCCCTTCGCTGTTGTTCATAGCTGGCAAGATTTGCTTTAGGTCTAGTTGTTACCTGTATAAAGTTTGCTGTACTCTCACCTCTGCTTATCCTTACTGTGTTAGATAATTAAATGATTTTGTAGTTTAACCCATTTTAAGTGCACCATATTCAAACATATATGTATGTGTATGTCTCTAACTACATACATGCATAAGTTTCCAGTCTTAGCACAAATGCTTATACATTTTACTAGTTCTTAGTATAAATGGTTCTGTATTGTGTGATTCATTTGTAGAAAAAGAAAGGCAGCAATTTTACCAATTTATTATCTAACAACATTAAAGTCAGTGAACTATGAACCAGCCATAATAAGGGTTTTGCTTATTTCAAATTATAAATTGTAACGTTTTATTTCATAGGACTAACTCATTTGCCTTAAGGGTACCAAAAACCTTATTATTGTCTGTAGGACTATGAAGATGACTTTGAGGTTTGTGACGGAGATGATGACAGCAATAATGAGCTGGACTCTCAAGAAAAAGCTGAAGAACTTCCTCTAGCCCAGAAAAGGGAGATACAAGAAATTCAGAAGGCCATCAATGCCGAAAATGAAAGGGTTGGCGAGTTATCTTTGAAACTGTTTCAGAAACAAGGTGGAATTGAATATGAGAAAGAACCCCAGGCAGGTGCGTGGGGAACGCTCATAACTAGGGTGTGTGTGCTGGGACCCATGTACGTAGTTGGTACAGAGTCCTGCCAGGTGGGAAGACTGCATATTTCATGTATCAGGTGGTGGATGCCATGTCCTGTGCTTCCAACTCCTGATTCATGGTCTGAGTTGTATGTGTTAGGAGTCATCTTTCGAAGAGAGCCTGTAGGTTACTTTTTGCCCAGCACTAAGGCCTGAGGTGACTAAGAGCTGTCAATCACTGACCCCATGTGCACCTGTGTACGTTGTCCTGTACTGTTAGTTCTTGTGCAGTCTGTAGGCACAGGTTCTTGTTCCCTCTGGTAATGTCCTCCTTGAGTTCTCAGGGGACAGTCACAGTTATTGGCCGGAGACTATCATTAAGTGTTTTTCCAGCAGTGTTATACCAAGACAGCTGATCTGGTAGCTGTGACCATAGCTGAGTGACTGAGTTGGGTGCAGGTAGCACATAAACAGTCTGTGTAAGCTGAATGGAGGCATGGTTCATGTCCCAGATAGGGACAGCCTGAGATTTCGTCATGTTACTGAGGACAACATATAATTTAATACTTAAAAATTATTTATTTTTGGAATTATTCATTTAATATTTTCAGGCCATAGCTGACTGCAGGTAACTGAAGTCTTCAGAGAGAGAAACCACAGTTAAGAATTTACCATAGATCTTTATGTATTTATTTTTGCAGGGAATGTAGGATATGGACAGAAAACTACATCTCATATATACTTCTGTAAATATTTCTAAAACTCTTGAGTGATGTGATTGACATATAATAGTCAACAAACAGTAAATTTTGCTTTGTAGCATGAAGTTTTAGGTGAAGTTAGGAGGTATAGGCCCTTTAAATGCCCATGGAGGGTATTTGTCATTGTTATTTATCAGTTATAAGTAAAAAACTTACAGAGTGTGTTAAATATGGCTATAATTGTTTTACTTGTTATTTTTTTCTTTGAAAGAACTATTTCATTGTCAAAAATAGCTTTTTTTCCTTATTCAGATGCAAATGATTCCCCTTCCAGAGCTCCTGTTTGTGGAATTTTTGTGGATTTTGCAACAGCCTCACACCGTCAGAAGAGTCGAAGTCAGGCCCTTAAACAAAAGTAAGTATATTGGGGTATTTTCCAGTGGTGGTATCATTTGTGTGTGTGTATGTGTGTGTGTGTAGATGTGGATGTGGTGCTGGAAGTCAAATCTAGGGCCTTGTACATTCTAGACAAGTGCTCTACCACTGAGTTAATCCCAGCCTTGTGTAACATGATTTTAATATACTTTTTCTCAGTGTGCTTAAAAATAGAACATTCCTGGGGTGGGAGAGATGTCAGTGGTTAAGAGCACTTCTTGCTCTTCCAGAAGACTCGAGTTTGGTTCCTAGCACCCGCATGGTGACTGACAATGAGAGCTGTCTGTAACTCCAGTTCCAGGATCTGACTCCCTCTTCTGGCCTCTGTGGGCATTGCATACATGTGGTACACTTAGATACATGCAGGCAAAACACTCAAACACATTAAAAAAATAGAGCTTTCCATTTTATGTTTGTTGTTGACTGCATAGGTAAACTATTTGTTTAGGGCTCAAATCCAGATACTGTGGTGTGTTGGGCAAGCACTGGATCACTGAGGTGTATCCTAGCCTAGGAAATTCTGTAATTTGTACTACAGTTCTCTTTGTATTCATCTGAGATCCTGGTCTTATGAGTGTATGCACTGCTGTGTACTAGCTGCTGGCCATCTAATGTCTGCAGTAATTTCTGCTTTCTGTTGAGGAGTCATATGATGTGTCTTAGCTATGACATAATCACAATCACACATTTGTAGATCTGGTTGCCAGAATCCCACTAAACAGGGTGAGCCTGGCTCATGCTGTGTTGCATCTGTGTGCACTGATCTCTTGATATACGGATGGAGGCATTTACCACCCCATAACTCTATATTCTGTATGCTTGCAAATCATGTGACTGGTGCCAGGTTCTGCCACCCCCTCAGGCATTATTTAGACTCCTTTGAACCATGACTATAGCCTCTGAATGTCTGGATGGCTGAATGTGGGAAAATACTTCTCTAGGCAGCACTGAGTAGATGGAGAACCCTAGAACTTTCCTCTCAAAGAAAAGTCTTTCAAAAGAATTAAAAAATTTGTACCCTTTCCCTTGCAGTGGCTGGGGTCCATCACTTTAAAATTTAGCCTCCCACAAAGTCATAGAAAAAATGTAGGCAAGTTCTTTGTCACAATGTAATACAAATAGACTGTAGTCCAGTATCCATTAGCGTACTCATTCCTTTCTGAAACCTTATAATCACAGTCTTTAACTTCTTGTCAGCATTCCATTAGTGGTTTTCTTCCCAGTGAGGCAGGTCTCAGATATTGATTATGCTGCAGTGTGTAGTATATATGTGTATTGTATGGGTTATTGTGGATCAAAGTCACAGTAAATATTTTACTAGAAAAGTGAAAAGACCAAGAGCTGAAACTTAAATGGATTGATGACAAATAAAATAAATGAGCTGGACATTTTGGGGAAATATGTATCTACTTTATTATCTTTGGGCACATAAATTCCAAATGGGTTAAAAAGGTAAGTGATCAGATGAGCACAGATCAGTGGCTATTTCAATATAGGAAAGGACTTAAAGCATCAGTGTGTTGTACCCTAATGAGTTAAGCTAAGTTTCTGAAAGATGCAACAGTTTATAAATTTGATAAAATTTGAAAGGCTAATTCGGGCCAGGAGTGGTGGCTCATACCTTTAATCTCAGCTCTTGGGAGGCAGAGGCAGGATGATCTTTGTGATTTCAAGGCCAGTCTGGTCTACATAGCAATTTCGAGGACAGCTGGAGCTACAGGGAAATCCTGTCTCAAAAAGACCGAAAAAAAAAAAAGGCTAATTTGAATGATATGCTTATAAAAAATATGATAGAGAATTACTATCCCTAATGAATAAAATGTTTATAATTTAATAAGCCAAGCTAAATATCTGTAGTCAAATATGGGGAGAAATATATAAACTTGAGATCCAGTCGGGAATAAAAAATATTGTGGATGTTAGATGGAAGGGACGTAATGTAAGATAATGTAAGGTGTTTATGACATGGACGTGGAAGAGCCCAGCATCCAAGTAGGGAACAGAAAGCACCCTGGGGAATCAGTAGCCAGAGCATGAGGCTGAAGGGTTGAAGGAGCTGGGCCCTGCGGCAGTGCAATCAGGTCTCTGAGACAGTGTGACCAAACCCCTTTGACATGTGACTGGGGCTCTGTGGTGGTGAGTCTAGGGACCTTGAGCCATAGTTGCAAAGCAGGGACCGAAGCCACAGAGAAATGTTATAGGTAGAGGGAGGAAGGGAAGAAAGCTGTTTTCCATCAGATGGGCCTAAAATGGCAAAGAACTTAAGAATTATTCAATAGAAAAAAGTTATGCTGTCAGTAAATAAATGAAATGTGCTCTGTTGAATGAGAAGTTGGATGCACATATTCACACGCAGAGATGAGCATTGCCCTTATGGAATAGGCAAGGTTTTAAAAAATGACAATGTTCAAGTGTTGATGACAACGCAGAATAAAATCTTGCCTGTGATGAGTTGGCAGGACCTTTGCAGAGGCAGTTTTCTATGATGTATAAAACACATCTGCCCAATGACAGATACCGTTGAGCAGTGTACATCGTTGTAGCTATCACATTCCAGCTATATGAGTGAATGGATTCCAAAGGATCAGGACAGGACTTCCACTGACTTCTGTGATGAACAGTTTGTTTCAGAGAAACTCTCCAGCAAGTATGAAAGCTGAATCTAAAATGGCAGTGATAACAACAAGCCTCAAGATGGCTGAGTAGGAATAGTGGGGACTGCCAGGATGAGAAAGACCAAGCTCCCCAAGAGAAGTGCCAGTTCTTGTGATGCTGCTTTCCCCGCTCCAGGCTGCATGTTTCTCAGAGTGGTCAAGTAGGACAGAAAGTGAAAGTAGAGAACTGATGACATTCACCCAGGACTGAGGAGATGGAAGTTAAAGGTTAGGACTTTGGAGTAGGAGAATTCCTGGTAACACCCCAGGCTTTTTAAAAAAGTATTTATTTTTGTGTGTATGAGTGTTTTGCCTCAACACTCAGGCTTTGGTTGAGGCCTCCAAGAGGTTATTTTAGGAAGGAAGGCAGGTCTGAAATAGGGATCTCACAAAGTGGGATGCTGAGCCTCAGATCATTCCTGTAGACCTGCTTGGTGTGATCCGCTTGTGTCCTGCCTGCTAGGAGGAAATTTAAAAAGTTAATATCCAGGGCCTGATGAGATGGCTCAGCAGTTACAGGCACTTGCTGTTCTTCCAGAGGATCTGGATTGGATTCCCAGCACCCACATGGCAGCTAGCAACTGTCCGTAACTCCAGTTCCAGTGGATCCTACGCCCTCTTATGGCCTCTGTGGGATAATGCAGGCATGTGGTACACTTACATACACACAAGCAAAACACCCATACATATAAAATAAAAATATTAAATATTTTAAAAAGATCCAAATTTCCTATAAATTTCCTATACAATGTATAATATCTAATAACTTACTAGTCATACCAGGAGTTAGGATCAAATAACCAAACCTAAGAGTGAAAAACAAAGATCAGTAATAGGTCATGTGATCCTGAGAGTGTGTCATCAGATATGGATTTTATTATAAGTTTATAGTAGCATATGATTAACATATATAAGCAAACTGACAAATTCATTTGATCAGAACTTTGAGTAAATGAGATACTATCCAAAAATACAGTAACTGAAATTAAGATTTGGGTAAATGAATTCTAGAGCAAATTATCTGGTGACAGGAGTTAGTGAGGTGGAGAGAGGGTAGTGGAAAGTTTTCAACTTGAAGCAGAGATAAAGAAGCAGGGCAAGATACAAAAGACACGAAAAGAGATATGACACACAGTGAAAATAATCTGCATGTATAATCAGATCTCAGGAAGGGCAAAGAGAAGTACCGGGGTAGACATAGTATTTATACACACCATCAATAGATTTTCAAAAATCGATGAATGTCAACAACTTAAAGCTTAAAAAGTTTCAAGAAGCACAATACAGATAATAAGAACAAACAAAAGTGTGTTGAGAGACTATGGTCAGACTGCTGAACACCAGATACCAGGAGAACTCTTAAAAATGCCCGGAGAAGTGGTGAGCTGCAGCTTTGAAAGCTGGGGAAAGAAGACCAAGCATGAGTCTTCAGAGGAAAATATAGGTGACGCTGACAGATGTGCTCCAAGTGCTGGAAGTGAGTAATGTCCTTTAGGAATGAAAACAAAAGGTAGGTATTTTCAGACCTACAAAAGCTGTGAGAATTCCTTGCTAGCAGACCTATATTAAAAGAAACAGTGGTATTTTTTAGGCAAAAGCAATTGGTGCCAGATGAAAACAAATATTTTACAACTGAAAAAATAGGCATATGTTGCTTTTAAGAGAGAGATTTCATATGCCAGGGCACAGAAGGGTTGAAAATAAATGGACAGAAAAAGCTGTTCCAAACAAACAACAAAACAATGCGATGTCTCCCTTGTCAGACAAGCTCAACGAGAAGGCCACTTCTCATAACAAGAGGGTCAGTTCATCAGGTCTGTCTGACAGTCCTAATCTGTGTATTCAGCAGTAGTGTTACATAGAATGTATCAAACCCTGATGGAACCAAAAGGAGAACTAGACATACCCACAAACACAGTCAGAGATTTTTTTTTTTAAACACACTGCTTTTATAGGTGATAGAAATTTAGTGCAGACAGAAATATGGTGGCGTTTTATGAGATTTGAACAGCCTCATTGACATACCAAACCTAACATACATCAGAAATTATGCTCAAACTACAGGACCCATTCTTTTCAAATGTACATGGTACACATATCCAAAAGATTGTATGTTGTGAACTTGGAGTTGAAGTGCTACAGAAGATGTTTTCTGAACATAATGGAATTAAGCTCCAAGTTAATAAAAAAGACAATTAGAAAAAAAAAGTTTGAAAATTAAATGTTGTAAATTTTGGTAAACAGTGAGTCAAAGAAGAAACGAAAAGAATTTAATTTTTTATTTTTGGTGCTGGTGGTCAGACTCATGGTCCTGTGCATGCTAGGCAGAGCCACCCCAACCCATCCAACTGCTTCACTTTTTGAGACAAGGTCCTGTTATGTAGCTCTGACTTGCCTGGAACTCACTATGTAGATCAGGCTGGCCTCAAACTCAGAGAGCTGCCTGCCTTTGCCTCCTGAGTGCTGGGATAAAAGGTGTGCACCACCATGCCCACATCAAACTGCTTTTAACAGTGATAATGAAAGCTAGCATTTGCCAGCCTCTGCCTGTGGGATTCACTGAAGCTGTATTACGAGACACAGGGAGAGGAAAAGGCTAAAATCAGTGGTCCACGCGTCTACACTAAGAGCCTGGGAAAGGCAGCAAATGAAATGAAATAAATGGCCACAGTAGAAAGCTTTAAATTTAAAGTGTTTGTAATAAAATTGAAGAAGCCAAAACAGCAAGTGTTCTTAGCCACTGAGCCATCTTTCCAGTCTCGGAAGTGAACTTTTTTATCTGACAAAGCATTTTAATAAAAATCTTACAACTAACTTCATACATTCTGGTGAAAACTGTCAGTTCTGGAGGCAGATGAGGGTATTTACCATCTTTATTTCTGCTCAGCATTGTTCTAAGATTCTAGCTAGTATAATTCGGCAAGAAAAACAATATGTATTACAAAGAAAAAAATCTTTTTCACTAGCAACATGATTGTATACATAGAAATTTAAAAACATGTTGGGGCTGGAGAGATGGCTCAGCACTGATTGCTCTTGCAGAGGACCTGAGTTCAATTCCCAGCACCCACATGGCAGCTACAAACCGTCCTTAACTCCAGTTCCAGGGGAATCTGAAGCCTTCTTCTGACCTCCACGGCATTGCACAACACAGGTGCACCCACACACAAGCATACAATATACTTGTACACATAAAAAATCCTGTTGTCCATTTGTATTTAAAAAACTATACATCACTAGAATTTATTAATAAATGTGAATAATGAATTTAGCAAAGATATTGGGTAAAAAATGATAGTTGTACTTCTATATATTAGCAATTAAAAATACTAAAATTTCACCATCTACAGTAGAACTGGAATAAACATGCTTACACACAGACCTCCACATAGAAACATCACACATATTATCGAGACCTGGGAATAAAAGTGCTGTCCTAATAAAAATTCCAACAGATGTGTTAATTCATACATTTTAGGATGTTGATTTTGAAATTTATATAGAATGAGATTTATATAGAGTCAAGGGTAGTGAAGATAGAATTGAAGAAGAAAAAGGCTTTGAACTCAGATGTCAAGGTTAGTGATAAAGCTACGGTGATCATACTGTGTTCTTAGCACAAGAAGTCAAGCTGATTGGTGCAGGAGGGAAGCAGCAGACCTGGATACATTGTCATAGAAATTGTTATGGCTGCAGTAGAGTAGGGCAAGAGTAGTTTTCCATGGCCAGTGTTGGAGCAGCTAGATCAATGTATAGGAATGGGAAACCTAGCCCTGTCTTGTGCTGCACACATAGGGAGAGGATATGACAGCCAGAGAAATGAATGTTCTATGGTAAGAACCATGTAGCTGAAGGAATTTTGGAGACAAAGGACTGGAGGTAATAAGTAAAAAGTTACAGGATGGTGTCCAGAGAATAAAATGATAGATAAGTGACAGGTATCGTAAAGACCCCGCGTGTGAGTGGAGAAGAAAGGGAGAGGAGGAGGAGAAGGGAGAGTACATCAACTTGAGATACCTGGATGCTGGGAGGGCCATTCACTCATTAATCATGTCCTTACTAAGCACTGGCATTGTGGAAGTGCTGGTACATGTAAGAAATAAAAGCTTTTTCCTGCTGAGATTGTATTTAACTGGAGTGGGTGACAGAGGTAAACTAATTGGGATTGAAGCCCAGACCCATCAACATTGAGGTGTCTGGGAGAAAAGAAGAAACACACAAAGGTGACTGGGCAGGAAGACTGTGAAGAAAGAGGAAACCAAATGATTTGGTTTTGGAAGTCCATGTAGGGGTTGATGGTATCAGATGCTGCTCCCTTTGCGAACAGGCTGCTGTAACCTCATTCTGCCCTCCCTGCATGTCCCTGTGTATATTACTCAATTTAATTTTTGTTTCCAATTTGTTTTAAAGGACTCGAAGAACAAAACTACTCCGGCTGATTGACTTAGACTTTTCATTCACTTTTTCTCTCTTGGATCTTCCACCTGTAAATGAATATGACATGTATATCAGAAACTTTGGGAAAAAAAACACCAAGCAGGTTAGTATGATATGTGTTAACTTAAGGAAGATGTAAGTACACTATAAGATAAGTTTGTGCCTTGTTTCTGCTCTAAAATATTAGAATTGGGTATGGTTTGTGAAAGCTCTGCTTTGGAGAAAGGGTGTCTGTCATCATATGGTACTCATAAATTCAGAGAGAGGATGCAAAGTCTAAAGATCGTCCACAGCCTCTAGGGGTGTGGATGAATGATTGGCATGTAATGAGCAGAAAGGGCTCATGTCTTAGTTTCTTTCTGGCTTGCTGTGATAAAATGCCCAGACAAAAGCAATTTAAGGAAGAAAACATTTATTCCAGGTCACATTGCAGGGATACAAAGTCATCACGGCAGGGATATGAAGATGGCAGGAGCTCGAAGCAACTAGATACATCACACCCACAGTGGGCGGGTCTTCCCAAGTCAATTAATGTAATTAAGATAATCCCTCACAGACATTGAGAGGTCCTTGTCCCAAGTGATTCTAGATCTCAGCTTGACAGTTAACACTAACCATCACAGTGAGGCAGAAGTTGCAGACTTTAATTCATATGAAGTGGAAATGATTAATGATTAATAAACACAAAGTTAGGTTTAGATTTGGTCTCATGTTCCAGGTGAGCATGTAGCAGTCATACTTTTTTGTAAAAAATCTTTATAATTCTGGAGTCTCAAAGTACTCAGTACCTCCTGTGCTCTCTCTCCCTAATTTGGGTTCACTTCAATACCCAGTTGTCTGTGATTTTCCAGCACTCTCCATTCATTCTTGTATTGGCCATTTTTCCTTCCCAATCTACCTGTGCCCAGGACCTTATAGGTGGCTACTTCCCAAATGACTTACACTGAATTTTTTCTCCTCTTCTAGTAATGCTAAATCCACTCCATACAAGTTTGTACTAGTCAGTGGTATTTTCAGTCAGTGATTAGTTATGTTAGCTTTGTTTTCTGTTGCTGAGATAAAATAACCCTGACAAAAGCAACTTAGGAGAGAAAGGATTTATTTTAGCTCACAATTCCAAATCGGTCCATCATAGCAGGGAAGTCTTAGTGACAGGAGCTTGAGAAAATTAGTTAAATCCATTGTCAGAAGAAGGGGACGGAAGATGCATGCTTTCATTCAGCTCCCTTTCTCCTTTTTCATATGGTTCAGGACTCAAACTCAGGGAATGGTGCCCCCCACTCTTAGGTTGGATCTTCCCACATCAATTAGTGTAACCAAGACTGTTCCCCACAGGTATGCCCCACAGGCCAACCTGATCCCACCTCCAAGACTGTTTAACTTTTAAACTTTAAAGTTTGTCAGCTTTTAGGCTGGGGCAGGGGGTTGGGG